CGACGAAAACCCACTCCCGATGGCAAACACCGGGGGGGGCGGCTTGTTTTACAACGTCGTTGCCAAGCAACGAAAACCCAACCCCGATGGCAAACACCGGGGGCAGGTGGGGGGGGATGTACTCATAGTAGTGCATGCCGTAGTCGTTAGATCATTGACCTGGCCCTTCAGGTGGGGGGTGATCATTTCTGACTTCCGTATACACCTTCGGTACGACACACTCCAAAAAAAAAATTCAAAGTGTCGGATAGGAAGCGAGGAGAGGGTGCGGGAGCGAATCGTGTCAGAAGCGAAACATGCGCCTTGAACACAAACCCGTACCGGCGTTGGTCCCGCGCGATGGTTTAGCTTAAGTATCCAGTTATTCATCGCTGGCATCCCCGAGCAAAGTTTGCGTGGAATATGATTGCCGACCGATATCAGCTCACCAGGGATCAGATCTGGACCGCTGAACATCGAATGACTGCAAAACCTCCACTGACGTATGTTGGCAGGGGAAAAATATATGGAAGGGCCGGAAAGGAAATTACTATCCGGGATGTCTCGGCGTGCTTCCAGCCCAAATTCTTGTTGTGCTCAAACCTCACATGCATCCGACAGAAAAATCTCGTGGGCCTCATTGTGGACGCTTACTTGTCTCTGGAGACATCGTCGAGCAGTGTGGTGGCAGGGTCTCAGACTCTTGCGGGAGCTCTCGTCTCATTTACTTTGAGTTGCAACTACGGTAGTGTCAGCTGGTTGCAAGACCATTCACTACCAAAACACGATCTTCATGCCTGTGCATTCCCTGAACCAGTACTCGAGTTCGACTCATTCAATTCTGCGACCGAGGCTCGATGGTCATTGCATCTTGCATATCGATCGCGTTCTCCAAATATCGTTACGTCGGAGCGGCTCGCCCCCCACGAGTTGGGCATGCCTTCAAAGCACAAACTGCACACAACATATTTGGCACCACGCGCCTTCGATGTCCGTCACAGGATGACGGCGTCCGGTCGGATCTGACGCTGGCTGACGTGACCGAGGCTGTTAAAGACATGGTGGAGACCGCGATCGAACTGGGAGAATCTCTGGATGACGCTTCTGCCCTTGCGCTTGTGTCGGTGAGTGTGCGCAATCAACACAGCACCCATGGCTGTGGTCGAAAATTGAAATTTTAGACGCTGTGTTGTAAGCCAATAGTGTTCGACGTACTGATCGTAACGGACGCGCGAAGCTCCTCTTTGATAGATATACTTGTAGCAATGCCAAGTGGTGGGTGCTGGATGTTCCCATGGAATGAGGTAGAGCGGAATACCGGGTGACATGTGTGGTACGTAGAATGGATTCCAGGGATGTACAAGGTACCCCTGTTGTATACGGCGTCGCCCCCTCAACGGGGCTTGTGTGTGTGGATGTGGATGCAACTAATCACAACAAGTTTCTCCTCGGCGCAAGCCCGCCGAGTTGCCGATACCCTATTCGACACACGTCTTGCGACAAGCTACCCCCAGTTCGGATTATCCTAACACGCTAGCGTTGTGATATCATACGGGATCCCGAGGTGGGCTAGCTACAAAAGGGTTCGGCCAGAGAACAGTGACACGGAAATCATGGAGCAGCAGCTGGATGAGCTCCAGCTCTCGGACGAGCAGCGAAACGTAATCGACGCTCTTATCAAGGAGCAGGTCAAGATCAAAGTAGAAGAAGCAGCAGCAGCAGAGCGCCCCGCAACATAGAGCGAGGGCATGCCTTCCGAAGGAGGCGACACCCGTCTGGACAGGCCTGCTGGCTCGGAGTCACGCCCGCGACCCGAAGACCAGCCCCGATCGCCGGCGGACGTCAGCCTCATCGACACCCTCGCGCGGGCCTTACAGAGGGTCAAGATAAAACCGGAGGATGAATACAGGGAAGTCTCAACCCCTAAAGAAACAATACGTGTTAGCGCAGGTATCACAATCCCTGCAATCACCGGGAAGTTTAGCCCCGAGAACGATGTACAGACGGCGGTAATGGTTTTCACCAGTCAGTTTCGATCTTTGTTGGAGCAGGAGCGTTGCCTTGGGGCAATAGAATCGAAGAACACGATTCGTGTAGGGAAGACCGATGCGAATATCTCGGCATTGAAGGTGGAGCATGGGACGGAAGCTGTAGATCGGGCAGTTAAGGCTTGGCAGCTAATTATATCCAAGATACAAGTACCGACAATAGTCCCTGCAATCCTAGCTAGTGGTTACCCCACTGAATCGTGGGATCAATTTCTCAACTTTTACCGAGTGCACGCAGAAACGGACAAGTTGGAGTTGCAGGGGCAGTGGTACTCGTTGAAGCAGCAAGTAGGGGAGGAGCCCCGGCGCTATCTCACAAGAACATCAATACTTCGCCAGAAACTAGAAGCGTACGGTTGGGTGCAATCCGATCATGATGCTAACGCCCACTATGTACGCAACCTTCTGCCCGATTTCAATGTGCAGAGGAGCGTGTTGTTGGCGCATTCGGAGGTCAAGACGGAATTGGTAGAAAAGGTGATTCTGACTGCCTGGGCGGAGACGGAGGCCGCTAGGAAGAGGGCGTCGGAGAGCGTGGGGGCGTATGCCCTCGTCACTGGCGGTGACAACCGTGGTGGCGGGGGCGGGAACATGGGGGATAGGGGGATTACGAGAGGACAACGGAGGACGGCAGCGCGGCAACAGCAGCAACAACCGCAGCAGCCACAGCAGCAGCATCAGCCGTACTTCAAGCAGCAGCAACATGTATACCCGCCGCCGTACCCGCCTGAGATAAAATATTGTGACCTCCACAACTCCTCGTCCCACAGCAACGAGGAATGTCGCTTGCAGCGGGGTTGGGGAGGTCCCTCGGGCGGCCAAGGTGCGAGCTACGGCGGAAGGCACGGGCCCCAGCATGGGGGCCGGGGTTTTTCTGGGGAAGGACGTCATCAGCAGCAGCCGGCAGGAGGAAGATTTGGGGGGCGTGGTGCCGCTTCCGGTGGGAGGGGCAGGGGCCCTTTTCACCAGGGACCGCCGGGCAGCAACCTCCCCGCTTACCCTGTACCTCAGCGGGGCTACGACTACAGCGCCTACCCCCCCCACATGTACCGCCCGCAGGGAAATGAACCNCCAGGAGCAGCAGGAGCGACGGTGGCGACGACGGCAGCACCATCTACGGGGGGGCATGCAGTGACGCACGTGACCGGTGTTTATCAATAACCGGTGACGCACGCGAGCGGTGTGTACGAATACCCACTCCAACAGCAGCAGCCGGAGTACCTATCCCCCACCTTCCAACAGCAGCAGCAAGTCCCCGCACCATACGCCTCTCCCGCGCCTTCGACCGGAGCACCTTCTTCGGCAGGGGGGACTTTGCTTTTGTGGGTTGTAAGAGACATGTCAAGTGAGTACCAGAGTGAGATTTCGAGTGGATTCGTAGGGGGTGAGGGGTATGCCTTGATGAGGGCGGAGCGTGTAGGAGTTGAAGAATGGCTTGCAGACTCCGGTGCAGCTAACCACACCACCGGAGACCCCACGAACATGTACGATGTGATCATCCCGCCCCTTGGTAGCGAGAGAGTGCAGATCGGTGATGGCAGGACGATGCGAGTGCTTGGAATAGGATGTTTGAACGTGAGGTTTCATCTTGAAGGTAGAGACTTTTGCGTGAAGCTTACCCGAGTACGTCATGTAGAAGGAATGGGGTTCAATCTTTTCTCCCTCCACCAAGCACAGGGATTGCAACGTATTGCCTTGGACGACGTAGACACCCAACTTTTCCATGGCCAATTGACCTTTCCCTGTGGCGAGCGGGGTTCGTCGCTTTGGGCCACACGCTCGCCGCCGAACTATGAAACGCCCACCGCTGTGCCTGTGATGCTTTTCCCCCCGGTGCCCCCTCCCCGCGCTGCTGGTGTACGTTTACATGCGAGTGATGGTAGAGTGATGTCAGAAACCCCACCGGTGTTTCCCCCCCCTCCGGGTGTAGCATACGTTCCTTCCACAGTGTCAGGTGTCCCGCCCGCTGAAAGCAGCGTAGTGCCTCCGGTGATGTCTGTACCTCATACCGCTCCCAGGAGTGTTGTTCAACCCACCGTGTCGAATTTTCCGCCCGCTGCTGCCGGCGTCGTACCTTCCACGGTGTATGGTTTCCCGCCCGCTACAAACAGCGTAGTGCCCTCTACTGTGCCCGGTTTCCCGCCCGCTGCAAACAGCGTAGTGCCATCTACTGTGCCCGGTTTCCCGCCCGCTGCAAACAGCGTAGTGCCCTCTACTATGCCCGGTTTCCCGCCCGCTGCAAACAGCGTAGTGTTATCAGTTGTGTACGGTCTCCCGCCCGCTGCGAGCAGCGTCGTTCCTCCGGCAATGTATG